TTTCTATTTTTTCATTTAGGCAAAATCACAGCAGAGAACTCGGCACAGCCAAAACCACACTCAAGTGATTTTGCTCTAAGAGCATATGGACCAACACAGAATACTTACACAGTGTGCTGCATGCACTCGCAGTCCAGAAAGCCAACTGTATACTGGGCTGCATTAAAATCAGTGTGACCACAGGTCAAAGGAGGTGATCCTGACCCTCTATATTCTGCTCTTGTTAGATCCCACTTGGAGCACTGTATGCAGCTATGGTGTCCTCAACATAAGGACATGGAGCTGTTGGAGCAAGTCCAGAGGAGGCCACCAGGATGATCAGGGGCTGCAGCACCTCCCATATAAAGACAGGCTGAGAACACTGGGGCTGTTCAGCCTGGAGAAGAGAAGCTGCGTAAAGACTTCAGAGCAGGTTCCAGTGTCTGAAGGGGGCCTAAAAGGATTCTGGAAAGGGACTCTCCGGTGATAGGACAAGGGGTGATGGGCTCAAACTGAAACAGGGGAAGTTCAGGTTAGATATAAGAAAGAAGTTCTGCCCTGTGAGGGTGGTGGGGCGCTGATACAGGTTTCCCAAAGAAGTGGTAAATGCTCCATCCCTGGCAGTGTTGAAGGCCAGCTCGGACAGAGCCTTGGATAACATGGTCTAGCGTGTCCATATCCATGGCAAGGGGCTGGAACTGGATGATCTTTAAGGTCCTTTCCAACCCTAACCATTCTATGATTCTATATAGAACAAAGTAGCTTTAGAACCTGACTAAAATAACACTGATTTTTATATACTAGCACCTGCTAAATAAGGCTGTTTCTTCACCCTGAAGAACGTTTTGGTTAGTGTGTCACAACATAACACATTCTGAATTATGTTATGAATTGGTGCTGCAGAATCTAACATCTGATACAGCTTTGCAGATGTCCAGCACAATTCAGCAGGTTGAGACTTGAGTGGACTACAGTGGTCATTACTGAATCAACTTCAGAAGTGCCCTTTTCATTTCCATTTCACTTTGATATTTCCGTTTTAATGATTTTCACATACTAAACATTGCCAAAAAATACGAGATTCACTTGATTCTTCAGTCAAACCATAAATTACTAAGTTATTGTCTGAAGAGGTTTACGGCTTTCTTAAACTTATCTTGAATTTTGGGCCTATATGACCTGTATTTAAACAGAGTTACTTTGTTTTCCCAAAGAAGTTTCTCATACCAGATCTGTAGCATCTGCATTTCAATGGATGTGCATGACAGTAAGGAATGGCATGGCTATGGAAAAATCAGTAGTTTGCCTTTTGATCTCAAATGGAATTATGGATCTCTCAAAAAAGCAACTGCTTCAGAAGTGTGAATGTGTATAATCTGGGACAAATTTAGGGTTTTTTGATGCATTTGAAAGACTGTATTTCAGATTTCAACTTCTAATGACTGGACAAAACCTTAACATTTCCATTTCCCCCACATACACTTTCAAATGAACATTTCAGCACTGCAAAAGCAATCATCTGACTTTGCTAAAACCAGCATTTTCTGCCACAAAAAAAAAGTAATTTTATTTCATTAGATCTACTAATTTCAGCTATTGACTAAGCTTTACTTCCTATAACTAGTGCTCATTGAAAGCAAGCAACTTACTAAAACCTAGGATTTTCATATGAATTTGTGTTAAGAATTTTAGTTTTAAGCCCTTCAGCTCTTAGTAATCTACAAGATGCCACTGCTCACACATGGAACATCTTGGCTTGATACTACAGCCAACATTCTAGTTACTGAGGTGGAAGCTCCTATCTGGAAGTAAGTTGCTAAAACGCAGCTCATTCTTCAAAAGAAGTCCAGTAATCATCTGAGAACTCCATTTGAGGGATTGCCTCCTGTCAGCAGCAGCTACAGAACCAGGAAAAAATGCAAGGTCTCTTATTTTGCCAGGTGAGTTTTGCTGTGTCTACTATGTGAGTAGCCTAACTATGAGTGTTTTCATTCACCCTTCTTTATAAAACTAGGCACTAGAGCTGAGATTAAACTGAACCACAAGGAATATGCCCTCTGCTTTCTGCCTGGGGTTACGTGAGCCAGACTATTTGTAATTAAGAGACATGATGGGAGCAACAACCTCTTGGGCCTCAAGTCTGATGTCCAGAACCATATTTTCTAGTAATAACATCCAAAGGGTAAATCTGTTATTTTAATTGCAGGATTTTGTTCTCCACACAGCATTACCACACAGAACCTACCACGCTCACCAAGACACACAGAAAGGATGGGCTGGAGCTGCTCGGCAACCGGTGAGCCTAAACATCTGAAATGTCATAGTGGAGGAGAGTTCAAATAGGTGAAACAGAGGATTACTCTAAAACAAACAGAAAGTTGGTTTGGTTTGGTTCGTACTACAAAAATACACACAGAGTTCTCAGTGGGATCAGGGAGGGGAATAACAGCAGGCCAGCTAGTCAGTCTGGAAAGCCAGTGCCGCCTTCTGCTCTGATGTTGAATGTCTTTTAACGTCAGCAAAGTTATTGGGTGGAATGACATAACCTTGAAGTCTGGGACCAAGACGGTTTAGTAGACCAATGTGGATATGTCAAGATGAAAGTGGCAAAGTTGTTTATTCAGGTGATTCCTGAAACATTTGAAAGGAGTGCTGCAAAGCAGAACTGACAGATGGACTCAGTTGGGGAGAACAGAGGGAGTGTATCTGCTGTTTGGTGTCAGCTGCTTGCTGCTTAATGCCATCAGCTTGATTTCGACACCTATTCCCAACTGTACCCCCTGCAGCCGCGTGTGCTCATGCTGGACACAGCCTTTAAAGAGAAAAAAGAAAGAATCCATAGAAGGGTGCATAATTTCTATTAGATGACACATTTTTTTCACTCTCAGTTGCTTTTTCATGTCTCATAACACAGCACAGAATACTCCCAAGCAAAATTTCCTTCTCTCTCAAAGCAACCCCAATAAACAAGGCATCCAACACTTTCAGATATTTTATTCTCAGAAGAGAAACAGCTCTACAAGAAAACTTGATAATTCTATTTCATCTTTATGCTTCTTAAACCAGTTCTAACAACCCCAAGCCTTTAGACAACTTGTGAATTACTGACATATTTGAAAAGGTGTCATACTTCATTTTCATGCCTGAATCCATTAATGCTTTGAAAAAATTTCCCTGCACCTGTTTCTTGTGGAAAAGATAGGGTGAAGAGAAGAGAGCTTTGATCTTTTTTATAGACTATATGGGGTGCTTACTTTTAAGAGTCTTGATCTTGCATAGGCCTGTTAGGAGAATTTCTGGAATTTAAAAATGGCAGAAGGATGCCCTAAGATATAATCTATCAGTTAAATTCACCAGCTCAGCACTGACACAGTTTTGCAACAACAGGATCATTAATGGCTGTTGCTGCTGCAGCAGAATTACAGTCCTGCTATAGAACACAGCTCTTGCAAACTATACAGCAGTTTCACAGGAAAAATCATGCAAAGTATCACCTCAGAATTAAATGGGATACAGCAAAGATTTAACAGTTCTCCAACATGCCATAAGTAAGCCAGAAACCAGAAAATTTCTCCTCCATATAAACTTCTAAAGGGAACTGAAAGAGGTAAAGAGATTAGGCTAGAACTCAGATCTGGTTTCATGTACATGCTGAGGTGTCATTTATAGCTGGCATTTATCTTATTATCTTTATTCCTAGGATTCAGTCTAAAAAATATCCACTAGCATCTTACAGTATTCTAGACAAACATTCTAGTCGCAAACTAATTTACTAGCATCTAAATTGTGACAAAAAATCTAGGAATTTTTATTTTTTAATTAAATAAAGCAGATTTTAATAGGGACTCTATGTTCTAGCTGCTGGTGTTTCCAATCCTGACAGTTAAACTGCTTCACAGAAGCTGGGACTGAGTGTGGGAGTTAAGGAAAACTGTAAGCTCCAACCTACAAGGTTTAAGATAACACATTCTTACCTCCCTACTGAGCACAGTTTAAAAATGGCCATTAGTGAACTGAAGTGTGGTCACTCATTCAGTCTCCCCAGGTCAAAAACTCAAAAGAAGTCATGAAGATGATTTGGCCCACTGAGACAGAATAAAAGTTAATATAAACACACCCATAAACAACCGATTAAGTTATAATAGATCATTTCTAAAAACACAGAGAGTTCAAGGGCTAAACTTTTGACATATGAACAAAGGATAAAATGAAAATGGACAGCTGGAAAATACATTTTAAATGAACATATTTTTGTGGATTCGTCTCTTAGGCATTAGACCAAATCCAATTAAATTCAATGGTAACACTAACAATTACTTAAGTGGGCTTTGGACTGGAGCCTTATTGACTCCAGTTTGTTAGTGATATAAATACAGCAACTTGACTGAAACTAATGGAATCACTTAAGGATTTTTGAAAGGCAAAGAGCTAAGCACCTGCAGCTTTCCTGAGAGTAGGTGCTTATGATTCCACACAGTACTGCCTCCCATCTATGTGAACAAGACTTGGTTTGTTGTGTTAGAAGTGCCAGTTTCTGCTGAACTGAATTCCATGTCTTGCAAGCCCTTTTTGTGCATGAGTCTGGCCTGTGAAGGTGAACTGCTTAGCTATCTATTTCGGGCAACAAGTTAAAAGAAAGAAAAAAGAAACCCAAAGAAGGGGTGGTGGGACTGTATTGATTTACTGGCTTGTAAGAGACAGCAGGTGGTAGTGAGTAAAAGAGCCACCCTGAAGTGGAATGAATGGGCAAAATAACCTGAGTCTGAACCATTAGCAAGTGTGTCTTATTTGGGCCAGTCAGCAAATGTTGCCAGGACATCAGTCCAGAGCAAATGTTTATGTTTGGATTGAATAAATTGCAGGATATTAGGTGGCAAAATAGTACCGTATCTATCTTTGCTTTTCCTTGGATACTGCAACAAAACAGTCTAAAAAAGCAGTTGGAATGACACTTGGACTGAATATGTTTTACCCTTAGAAGTCGTGCTTTGGAAGGAATGCATGACAATTTTCTCCAAGTATATTTTTATATTTGAGAAGGGACTGTGATTTATGTCAAGGGGGATCCCATTTGGCTGCTTCCATTGTTACTGAGCATTTAAGACATGCTAGAGTCATTCAACATGGTTTCTTTTACACAGATAGTATGAAAACCAAACATATGCTTCATACAGATTTTCAGTTGCTGATTTTCAGCAGTAGTAGCAGATTTATAAAGAGTTCTTCCAGTTCTTCCAGCATTCCAGGAAGTCTGTGCCATTCTAGGAAAACAGAACACATTTTGTTCTGTTGAAAGTTACTTGGTAAGTTCATCCTATACAAATTGTGAAACACATTTGAAGTTAAATGGGTAATTTCCCCCTTGAGCCAGTGCAAGGCCAGTGTAAAGTTTACAGTCCTTCCATTTACAATCCTAACAGCAACCAGCCTCAGCTACAAGTCCTTCATACTTATTCTCCAACAATTGTTGGAAGAAAGAAACTTGTTCTTTTCAACTCTGTAAAGCAACTCACTTGGCAATGAGAAAGGAGTTGTTAAACTAGCCCTTATCACTAAGTACAATCAGTGGTATTCTGCTAGCTGATGCATAACAAAGGTGTGCCATGTAGACCAAGCATCAACAGAAGACTATTTTCCCCAAAAGCAAACCAGCTCCCTACACGAGGATGTACAGAAACTGTACAACCCAGACTGTGTTTTACAAAACTCAGTAGTCTGACTGTCCATTAGCATCAACAAGTAACAACAAGTAATGTTACCATTAGAAAAGTCAGTAAACTTAAAATCAGTTTGCAGTGAGTGAGGCCTTTGAATATTATTCTTCTTGGGTCTGAGCCTTTTGAGTTTTTCTCAGCCATTTAGTTCTTCCATATATCTTCTTCTGAAGGGTTCAGTACTTCCATGATCTTAGATTCATCTGTTCACAAAAGATCTGGTATGAAAAGTCAGTAAAACATACTATTTTCCATACATTTTTCAATTATTCTGTTATTTAGGCAGGATTTAGGTTAGATCTAAGGCAGAAGTTCTTCCCTGTGAGGGTGCTGAGGCGCTGGCACAGGTTGTCCAAAGTGATGAATGCTCCATCCCTGGCGGTGTTCAAGGCCAGGCTGCACAGAGCCTTGGACAACATGGTCTAGTATGAGGTATCCCTGCACATGGTAGGGGGTTAAAACTGGATGATTTTATGGTCTGTTCCAACCCAAACCATTCTGTGATTCTATGACTCATTAATTATGGTGAGAACAGGTAGTCAATATAGTCACTGGTAGTAAACGGGTACTGGTGAAAAAGTGTTACTTTGACTTACGGAAAATTTACAACAGCGATGGCAAGTGACTCAAGTTCCATCTCTGCTACATGTAGTTCTGCTGGAACCATCAAAGACATACTAGCACTGCAATAGGAATAGCATTCTGCTTCATTTGTTGGAGACAGGGGAAACAGAATCGACAGAGAAAATAACAGTAGAGAAGCAGCACTAAACACAACTGCAGTGCGGATGACTCGAGGACTAGGATGTGGAACGTATCATAAAATCATAGAATCTAGGATCACAGAGTGGTTTGGGTTGGAAAAGACCTTAAAGCTTCCAATCCCTTGCCATGGGCAGGGACATCTCACACTACACCAGGTTGCTCCAAGCCCTGAAAGAATATTTGATTTTTGGGTATCTCCTCTTTCTTTTCCAGACTGAAGAGAAGAAAACTATTTGGCTTCTACACTTACAGAACAGACTTTGCAAATTTTAGCTGTCACTGCATTGTCCTTGTTTGTTCTTCTCATTACAGAGAGGACAAGAGAGTTAAAAGTCCCCAATTATTTATACAAAGGATCTCTGAAGAGCCAGGAGGAGATTATTAAGACTCTTGTGTGCTGTGAAATGATTTACATGCTGGCAAGAGCAAACAGGCAACATTAGAAATACCTTTCCTAGCCTTTCAGAAAACACTGAAGCACTTTTCTCATGAAGTGCTGATCTTACTGGGAGGATGAAAGTTGCACAACTGACACACAGACAAAGGGCCATCCCCATTTGAGATTAAGAGAGTATGCAGAAGCCTCTCAGTACGGGTCACGATAATGTAGCACTGACTAATTAAGTAAATAAATCAGTGCCAGTTTTTGATCTATTTGTTTCACTGATGCTTAGATACAGCGAAGATAACGTGCCAGTGTTGTCATAATATACTGCTGAGAGTTGAAATGTCCCAAGCTCTTGTCTTCAAGAAAAATAATAGCTTACAGCTATTTAGGCCATTTAGAGATTACCTGGTAGACCTCACCATGGAACTGGAGTTTCATAGGAGCATAATAATTAGAGATGGAAAAGACCTATTAGATCACCGGGTTCATTCCTTGAAATTGCCTCACAGAGGGGGCATTGACTTTCAGTGTACTTTGGATTACATCCATAGCTCCCAAGAGACAAAGAGAAAAGGAATAGTAGATCATTTCCTGTAAACTGGTAAAAGCTCAGTACATCTGCTAGAAAATGAGTCTGCATCTGAGCTGCTGTAGTGACCTTTCACAGAAGCCTCACATACTCACCTAACAAAATCAGTACACATGAGAGAAAGGATGAAAGACAAGTGATGAGAGAGTTGTAAGGGAGTTTTGTATGACAGCATTATCATGACTTATATTTTCCAAAGAAGGAAAAACAAAGATTTCTGATGGCACCGGAGCAGTGAACTGCATGCCTTACCAAATAACATAATAGTGCAAATAAAAGCCAAAGCTGAGAAATGGCTACAGGCTGCAAACCTGTTTAATAGTAAGCAAGAGTTTAAAATTAGAACAGATATGAATGATGGCTACAGCACACTTATTAGAATGAAATCTGCAATATAAAATTGTGGTTGAAAAAAAAAAAAAGTAGTTAAGTTTAAAAATAATTAAAAATCAACGTTTTATTCGCTGATTTCAAAACAACTGAAAGAGAATATAGTATCTCCATAATAAGGATAGGAACAATCCAAAAGGAAGCAAGTTTCACTTGAAATATAATTTTAAAAATTTATTTTTTAAATGGCTAAAACTATCTTAAGAAGCTGTCTCAGAGAAATCCGTAAAGTAAAGTTCTGAAAAGCATGGTAAAAATGTGCTTTATACAAAAATGCAGAAGCAATGATATCTGTGGGAATATGCATTCAAACGACAAAGTGATTCTGGAGCACAGTGCAACTTAATCCTACTCGACAAAAGCTTCAGGAATCAGCATCAGCACAAATATAGGTAATCACTGATTTTATAGGAGAGGCAATTCTAGAACAGTGATGCTTAAGGATAGCTTTAAAATCAGAACATTTGGTTTTTTCACTACACAAACACAGTAAGGGATGGGCTTTAAAGGTTTTCTGATATAAAATAGAATGTGAATAGGAAGGAAAATAGAGGAAAATAGAGGCCTGGAGAAAATCTTGCTTTGTGTCCAGAAGCAAGAAGTAGGTCAATGGAAGCACTCAGAAGAATGCTTAAACTACCTTCCAGCATGTCCAGTGCTGTATTTGCTCAATTTTTAATCTTCATAATCATATTCAGAACAGAGAAGAAAACTATGTTCTATGGGGATTAGTAGTGGTGAATTAGTGAGGAAAAAGAAGGAAAAAGAAAGCTGGTATTATATGTGCTTGTTTCTAGAGTTTCAGTTTTGAATATTGTCAAGAACAGATCCTTACATGCAAAAGTATGTATGTTAGCTATATCTGATTTACTGATGGAGATGTATTATAAAACATATATTTTTCTGCCCACTGATGCAAGAAGTCTGTTTCTCAACAGTTTCCTAGATACCAAAAACATACACAAGAATTCATTCACACATGAGATTAGTTTGATGGGATTTTTTCCTTTCACTACTGATGAACAAAGGCAAATGAAAGCTACAACCTTACACACACACTTGTGTACATTCCAGTTTTAGCACAATTTTAATTTCAATAATAAATATTTCAGCATTAAAACTACATAAAACAGACAATAAAGAGATAGCCATAGAAATGATAAATACATCAGCCTTGAATACCACTACCAATAGAGATGCCTCAGCTATAAAATAATGGTCCTGTTGAGTCACTAGGAGCTTTGTTACTAAGAGCACATGACTTCACCCTTCGATCTTTTCTGTTTTAATTCCAGGTACAGAAAAAAACACAATAATGCATCCATAAAAAATGGATTTTGACATTTTCATTGTGTGCCTGACTGCTTCTGAAGAGGGATGGTTTCTTTAATTTGAATCAAGGTGTGCCAATTCAAAACCATGCTCTGGAGAGCAACACAATTTGAGTGACCTCTTTGCATAACCTTCATAGTAATAATGCAGGTGAAATAAATAATGAATAATAAAAGAATCAGCCAAAATGAATGCAAATAAGTAGGGATTTGACATGGAAAAAAAAATTTTAGATATGTAGGATCCAGGCACTTACAAAAATGGACTCTTGCTCATGAAACTTACCACTTAGAAAAGAAATCTGTGTGATGCATATAGAACAGGGATGCACACAGAACAAGGATGCACACATTCCAGCAAAGGTTCTGGAAACCTGTGGCCTATGACAACAGGTATAAAAACTATAATAGATGAATTTCATTACTTGTGTCTGTCATGGCAATAGAAGAACAGGTCTCTTAATGTGAGACCATGTAGACCTAGTCTACACAAGGACTAGTTCCATGAAGAACACAGGGGGAAAGAGAATTTCAGGGAAGGTCATATAAAATGATAAAAAACAGAACTTTCCATATACAAAAAAAATAAGAAAATAAAATCTAAGACTAGTATTTGTTAAGCACTCGTTTCACGGAGCAATTTTAATCCATTTTAAAGAGGAAACATTTGATATGCCAGTAAGAGATCTCCAGAGAATACTTTGTGATTAAATAACAAGTGTGTTTCTTTTTTTTTTTGATTGGTGAATGTTTCTGTTTATTTATTGTTACCTATATCCAGATAAGGTAGCAGGTTCTTAAGCTGCTACTTTATTCTTGAATAAAGAATATAAGAAAAAGGGCAGTCATTATGTTACAGGGAAACAAACAACTGAGTGCATTATTACTGCCTTTTGAGGTTTTTTTCTAAGAGTTGTAATGTTAAGTTAGTGCTTTGCAAAGTTCTCAGATGGTAAGTTGTAAACCATGCCATAGAACATAAAACTATATTCTATGGTATAGGAGGAGAAAAATGGAGACTGAAGTTCTGCCAGAGCCAAAAACAAATGTCTGTAACTGGAGATAACTGTTAACAGTTCACAGT